GATATTTTATAAAATAATGAAATGTGGGGAAATGATTTGCAGGTGTTTAGTAGAATATAAGGATACCATTTATCATTAGTGTAAAAAAAGATGCGGTTATGATTTTATAGAGAAAGAGAAAATTTAAGACTAATTTGTGCTGAAAAATAGGATAAATGTAAAATGATAGATCCAGATGCTTGCTTTATGAGGGTTGAATCGCATAAAGGCGGCAATCGTAACTTGTCAGAAAAAGTCGAATTAATATGTTCTTGGGTTATAATTGAGATATTATTCGATTGTAAGGACCACATCTATATTGGATGACAGAAAGCCTTTCGAATAAGGGTAAATAGAAATAGGCCCCTAAAATTATCTAGCTATCCTGGGTGTTTGATAACGCTTGCAAGTAGACATCTATAAGAACGCATTGGGACATCTAAAGAATGAAGAGGTTATAGATGTTACAATACTAAATTAAACTAAGTATCCAGTGAAATAGAAATCATTATTATTCTGAATGTATGGACCCACCTTTGACTTTTAAAATATATTCCGATTGTTTGAACATATATAATGAAGCGGCATCACTATTCAGGGGATCCGTGGGGTTTGGATAGGCAAGTAATTGGGGGAGAAATTGCTCGAATATATTTGTGAGATCTAGAACATAATGTATATAACATCAAACCATAAAGGGCGGACCATTGTTGATTGATGACATCAAGACAGACTGTTCCAGAGCTACAAAAGGTAAAATATACGCTAACTTACGATTCATCTATGTTCGGATGATAGATTTTGTTAATGAATCCTAAATTTACTTAATAACTAAAATAAACTACGAACCAATTGAAGGAGATTTAAACGGATATCTTTCTGGAAGATCAACACGAACTTTCCATATTCCACCTTCATATGGAGCTGATGTTGTAATATAATTAATAATATAAACTTACTGTCTGCTGGGCCATAAAATTTTACCATAAGTTCATTCAACCCACCCAAAATCGTCACCTCATAATTACTCTCGATTCTGAAAAAAACAGATATTATTCAGCATTCCACAGATAGAATGGTATATAAATCGA